CTTCATATATATACACACACATATATATTCATATGTATTCATATATATTCAGGTATATATGAGGTCCTCTATATGTATATATTCATATGTATCCACATATAGTTTATATATATGAATATATACAGATATGAATATACATGGAGGAATATATACATATATATATGAATTCCTTAGCAGAGTGTAAGAGCTTAACATTGCGGGTTTAAGAGCTGTAGGAGCTCAGTAAATGGTAATTCTCATGAACATTCATATATACGCACATAGAGGCATTGAAATGGCTTATGTACACAGCCTGAATGCTGACACAACATTCGCAAGTTAAGGAGAAATGCGATCATTGAAAGCACTCACGAGCTGGCAGAGCCGATGCATCATATGTTTGCTCTAATTGCAATATGACTAGATAGCAGTTTAAGAGATTCGACAATTTAACATTTGAGAAGCCAAGTTGATTTGAGACTGTTTTTTGAAATAGAATATGCTCATAAATGGTAGAATTTCGAGGGACATATTCAAACCAAGCCACCAAATCATTTCAGTCACCTTTCAAAGACGCACCTACTAATGGCATGGTTCCAGACGTGTCAACGACAAATGAGATAAAAATCACATTCTTTCTACCCACAACTAGCTATTTAAGTCTGGTGATAGATACAGGTGTGTGAACAATTACTTATATTAGGAGACAAGCAGCAGCCTAAATCACATGCTCAGGCTACACCAGCCGAATGTAACGTGCTGAGCCTGGGGTGGCCAGGGTGGCCCAGCACAAGGGCGCTAGCACCAATGAGAGCAGCTCCACTGTCATTTCATAAAGACGAGCCCTGCCTTGCTGGCATTTGGTAAGCTTTAGTCTTGCTCCAAAACTATAGCAGCGGCGGTAACAGCCACCCGTAACGCAGCAGGGCTCTCCGTACATCCTGCCATGTGCCAGATGCTGAGGGGAATGGTGAGACGGGAGTGTGAGCCCCACCTGCATGAACCTATGCTGACCAACCCCGAGATTAGGCTCCATCAGGGCAGCAGGGTTAGTCTTGGGCAGGAGGCCAAACTTTCCTGAGAACGTAATACTCAAACGGAGACCAGGAGGAGAGTAGAAGAGAAGTAAGGGTGTTTCAGGTGTAGACAATGTTCTCTGTGAAAGTGGTGATTCCGGGAAGAGCTTTGAGCCTTGAGCTGTGGAGGGAAGACCCATGAGGCTGCAACAAGGCAAGAAAGGGGCAGAGTGATGGGGGAGAAGGCTGGAAACACCAGGGCGGGCCAGGCAGAACCCAGAGGCTGTGCACCTGCTGACCAGGTGCCATGGGAGGTCATTGGAGGGCTTTAAGAAGGGGAAAGAGGCGGGGCGCGGTGACTCACACAGGTAATCCCAGCACTTTGGAAGGTAGAGGTGGGCGGATCACCTGAGGTCAGGAGATCAAGACCATCTTGGCCAACATGGTGAAACCCCGTTTCTACTAAAATACAAAAAATTTAGCTGGGCGTAGTCATGTGCGCCTGTAGTCCCAGCTGCTTGGGAGGCTGAGACAGGGGAATTGCTTGAACCTGGGAGGCGGAGGTTGCAGTGAGTCGAGATTGTGTCACCACACTCCAGCTTGGCAACAGAGCAAGGCTCCATCTCAAAAAAAAAAAAAAAAAAAAATGTTGGGAGGGGGGAAGACATCATTTCACTCATGTTTTTAAAAGTTTTTTAATTAAACATGGAATTACCATGTGACCCGGCAGTTCTACTTCTGGGTATATACCGAAAAGAATTAAAAGGAGGGACTCGAAATTATTTATACCCTAGTGTTTATAACAGTGTTAGTCACAATAGCCAAAATGTGGAAGCAATCCAGGTGTCCACTGGTGGATGAATGGATAGGCAAGATGTGCTCTATCCACACAGTGGCATATTGTTCAGCCCTAAAAAGGGAAGGAAATCCTGGCATATGCTACAGCGTGGATGCACCTTGAAGAGAACACACTGAGTGAAATAAGCCAGACAAAAGGACAAATACTGTATGGTCCCGCTCCCATGAGGTCCGTAGAGTAGTCCAATTCAAGGAGACAGAGTAGAAAAGTGGTTGCTGGTGGAGAATGGCGAGTTATGTTTCATGGGGACAGAGTTTCAGTTCGGGAAGAAGTAAAAATTCTGGAGGTGGATGGTGGGAATGTTTGCACAATTTGAATGCCGGGTGTGGTGGCAGATGCCTGTAATCTCAGCTACTCAGGAGGCTGAGGCAAGAGAATTGCTTGAACCTGGGAGGCAGAGGTTGCAGTGAGCCAAGATTGTGCTACTGCACTCCAGCCTGGGCTACCAAACCAGACCCTCAAAAGAAAAAAAAAAAAAAGAAAGAAAAATAACTTTCCAAGAGTAACCACTACTAAAAATTAGTATTTCAGCTGGGAAAGTTTACCAGCCACACACTTAGAGTAGGATGGGGCTATCATAATCTACGCTGGCACGAGTGAGAAGTGGGTATCTGCTGGGGGCTGTCAGAAAAACAGCTGGGGAAAGAGCTCAGCTGCAGGTACCAGTGAGACTTGAGATGCTGTGGATTGTGGACGGGCTTTCCAGACCTAGGAATTTAGGCCAGGTTTTGAAGCTTGGCATCGGCACAGACTGGAGGGCAAAGGAGAAGGACTTAGGACCCAGAACCAAAAGAATGAAGTAGGAAGCCAGGTGGAGGTGGAGAGGTGGACAGGGGCTATGCATATCTCTCAATCCAGGTTCAGGGCACCGGGAGTTCTGTGATGGAGTGCCAGGTGTAGGAAGGAAGTGCTAGACCCAGAGGTGCTGCATCCTGAGAGCCTCTTGTCTCCTGGGGGAGAGACAGGGAGGGGAGGCTGATGGTCCTGATGCTGGCCCCAGACCTTCCGTGGCAGAGGATTCTGATCTGCTTCCTGCCCAGCCCTGCATCTGAGGCCAGAATGTAGACAGGCCCAAAGCAGGGCGAGGACATGTGTATGTGCATATGTGTGGATGCATGAGTGTGCACATTTGTTCACATGCCTGCACACATCTGTGTATTTCTGTATGTGCATGTGCATTGTGTGTGCACACGTGTGTTGCTTCCAATAATATCCCCATGTCTGGCCTTCGTGCTGCATGCAGCCACATCTGGAGGCAGGGAGCTGAGCCAGGTGAACTGTCGACACCCATCTGGCTTTATTACAGTGTGATTCGGTGACTCTGCAGAGAGCACTCCAGGGCAAAGTATGACATGGGATCTTTGTCAGCCATGGACTTGCTAGCAGTCTTCTGCAGCCATGTCTTCTGGGCCAGCCTCGTAGAGAGTTGCCCCTGCTCCTGCCCAGCCTAGAGCCATCTGGTTGCTCTCAGGCTCCAGGCTGCTGGGTGGAAGAGAACTGCAGCTGCGGAGTATGCTCATCTGGATGCTTAATAAGCAGGCACCCTCCCTATGCCAAAGCAAAGCCTGCAAGAGAGGACTCTGACGGGTTGTGGGTGAGGGCAGTGTCACCTTTGCCATGCCTGATCTCATTGTGACCTCCCAGGTAGAAGAAGGGGAGCCCCTGGCAGAGGCTATGTCCTCCTCCTCACTGGCGGGGTGTGGACTTTTCCTCCCAGTTATGAAAGGACCACAGGGTATGTCACACCGCGAGGGAGGTCTAAGAATATAAAACTGCCACCCATGTTTGACTGTGATGACCCTGGTAGAATTGCCATCCCGGGAGCAAGGATAGAGACCTCCCCCCCTCCCCTTGCTTTTGTTTCCATGTGCTTGTTCCCATTGGGAGTGGGAGGATGAGTTTAGAGAGTTTTGAGATGATGCCTTCGTTTAGGTGAAGCAGAGCTTGGCCGAATCTAAAGTCAAGTTCCAGAGATGGAGCCTTGCTAGCGAGCTGCCTCCAGGAGCTAGGATTGCCTATAAGAACCAGGGAGGAGGAAAGAAAGTGGGAAAGAGGTAGGCAGGGGAGCAGGCTGCCCAAGAAGCAAGGTGGAGAACCTGTCACAGGGCACCTGGCCTTTTACAAGGGCTTTTGAGGGAGGGAACTGTATCAGAGGCTGTTACTTGCCTGCTCAATATCCATTCTTCCCTTCTGTTGCTGTCACAGGAAGGCAAACATGTGCCCAGCTAAAAGCCTGTATTTCAGTGTCCCTTGCTGGAAGTGTGGCCAAGGAGATGTAAGTGGAAGTCATTGGATGGGATTCTGGGAAGGCTTTGTGAGGGGGCTGAACAAGCTGGAAAAAGTGACCTTTTGAACTTCTGTCTTCTCCTTTTTCCTATCTGCAATGAAGTGGGATGACTAGAGCTCCAGCAGCCATGTTGTGCCCATGAGGTAAATTCTAGAGAACAAAATCCCACAGCTGAAGGTGGTGGAGCAGAATGGTATGAGGGACCTGGTTCCCATTGACAAAGTGGAGCCCTCCTATGCTCCCTGGTCATCTATCTCAGACCATGCCGTGTGAAAGAAAGTCATCCCCTAATGTGACTTAAGCCATGCTTACTTTGGGTCTCTGCTTACAGCAGACAAAAGCCATTTCTAGATAATTAAGGAGACTAGGCAGCTCAGACTAGCCTGCTTGCAAGACAAGCTTTCTTAGCTGAGCTTAGGTCTTCACAGAGGACTCTTATTCGGGGAATTAGAGAAAAACTCAAAGCAAAGAGGAATCTAGATGAAAAGAGTGTATTGTGGTGAAAGCTAAACAGTCAAAAATAAACAGCAGTGTTGTCAACACAACGCCCTTCTTCAGGCTACTCAGACACTTCAGAGTCCTGTTTCCTCAGAATCAGGGGATTGAGAATGACCTTAAATATCATTTAATTTTTTTAGCTCCACTCCCCTTTTTTCTTTTCTCTCTTCCCCTTTTCTCAGCCACAGAAAATCAGTGTTCTTCTGTTTGTGCCTGCTTGCCTTTTGCTGCCCATATCTGAGCAAAGTTGTTCCATATGACCCTGTGAGATTGGCAGATCACAAGATTTGTCCCATGTCATTCAATGCCAGATCCCAGAAGTAGCAACTCTTCTTTTGCTGATGCCAATCCATCTATTCATCTATCTCCATCCATCTATCTATTTATCCATCCATCCATTCATCTACCCATCCATAGATCCATCCATCTTCAACTATCTATCCACCCATCTAATTATCCATCTGTCCATTCATCTACCCATCCATTGATCCATCCATCTTCAACTATCTATCCATCCATCTAATTATCCATCTGTCCATTTATCTACCCAACCATCGATCCATCCATCTTCAACTGTCCATCCATCCATCTACTTATCCATCCATCTGTCCATCCATCTTCATCTATCCATCCATCCATCTACTTATCCATCCATCTGTCCATCTCTCCATCCATCCATCCATCCATCTGTCCATCTATCCACCTACTTATTCATCCATCCATCCATCCATCTGCCCATCTATCTGTCCATCCATCTGTCCATCCATCCATTTGTCTATCTGTCCATCGATCCATTAGTCTATCCATTCATCTGTCCACTTGTCCATCCATTCATCCATCCATCCATCCATCTTCATCTATCCATCCATCCATCTACTTATCCATCCATCTGTCCATCCATCCATCTATCCATCCACTCATCCATCCATCTTTATCTATCCATCCATCTGTCTACTTATCCATCCATCTGTCCATCCATCCATCTACTTATTCATCCATCCATCTGCCCATCTGTCCATCCATCCGTCCATCCATCCATCCATTCATCCATCGATCCATTTGTCTATCAATCCATCTGTCCATCCATCCATGTATTTATTTTCTCTGTCTCTCAATCATCTATTTATTGATTATTTCAGGTACTGTAGCTACACAATTTAAATCCATAATCTTCACAACAACCCTGTGAGCCTTGTTATTTCCATTCCACAAATTAAGAAATGATATTAAAGGAATTTGCCTAAGGTCAAAGAGCTAAATGCAGGATAAGATTTGGGAGTGTCTATGTGGTTCCAAAGAACCTGACACACTGAACCACTTTGTTAGACTGGCTTGTCATAAGTTACATTTCCACATGACAGGCAAATATAGAATTCATTCCAGCCAACACACACTGATTGCACGGACATAAAACAGATCTTATGAAAACATTTATTTGATAGACTTCCAGGTAAAAGACTTTGTGTACAACCTGTCATGACTTACTCTGGTCTCAAAAACTTGCTTTAAGAGCCCATAAAAAAAGGTGTGATGTTAAAAGTCATTGGGTCAGATGTTAAAAGTCATCTTATCCGCCTGCCTCCCCACTAGCTAAATATCTCATCTCAAATAGGAGATAAGAGGACATCATCAGAGTGGTAAATCCTAATGAAGTGGTCAATAGAAATGGACCCTTGTTAGATTGTGGCTTTTTATAGCAATTCAAGTATATTCACCTTTCAAATCATGTCTTTTCCAGGTATTATAACCACATAGGGGAAAGCCAGGTTAGCCCATGATTCAGAGGACGGTCGTTTTCTGGATACCCAGGCTATAAATTTGTCCTATGGCACAGGTTAGTGTATTTACTCTTGGCCCTTCAAAGGATGTGGTATTTTGGTGTTGACCTTCAAATCAACCCTGATGTTCCATAATATGTAGTTATTTTAAATTTTGCAGAGGTACAAATTCAAGGGCCACCTGAGATGAGATATTTAGCTAGTGAGGAGGCGAGGGGGTTAACAAACCCTGTAAAGCTCTTCAGGTGATGAAACATAGTTAAACGTATAGATAGCAATTTGGTAAGAGACAAAAGCTTAATGAAATTTGCAAAGACAATTACCTTGTGGGATGGGGCTATTTATAGGAATGGTGACTCAGTGGGCAGAGGCTGGTGGGAAAAGCCAGGAACCTTTAGAATCCTTAGGATCCAGTCATTTGGAGCTCCCTCCAGGTCTGGGAAGACATTATTTCCCAGTTCCCAAGGGCCATTGCACTCTGATTTGGAAAAAAATAATTTAGGATGAGTATAAAAATGATGAAACTTGTGTTCACTTCGGCAGCACATACACTAAAAAGTGATGAAACTTGCTCATCAACGTGATATTTTAGGCATATCTAAATATTACCACATACCATATTATACTGTCATAATTTCCCACCATTTTTTGTTCCTTGGAATAAGGCAACATATAAATATTCTATATTATGGCTTTTCTGTTTGTTTGTTTGTTTGTTTTTTGAGACAGGGTTTCACTGTCACCCAGGCTGGAATGCACTGGTGCAATCATGGCTCATTGCAGCCTTGACCCCTGGGCTCAAGTGATCCTCCCACCTCAGCCTTCCAAGTAGCTGGGACTACAGGCATTCACCACCATGCCTAGCTAATTTTTAAAATTATTTTGTAGAGACAGGATCTTGCTATGTTGCCCAGGCTTATTTCCAACTCCTGGCCTCAAGTGATCCTCCCCCATCAGCCTCCCAAGGCATGGATTACTGGCATGAGCCACTGCACCAGCCTATATTGTGTATTTTTGCTGCTTCTGTTGGGGAAGAATTTGGTGTTTTATCTGAGAGAGGTGACAGGAACCTTGGCCAGATGCCACCCCCAGAAAGTCAGTGTCCTTCTGTTGGTGCCTGCTTGCCTTGTAGCTGCCCATATTGGAGCAGAGCTGCTCATTTGCTTCTCTAGGCACATCTTGTGTGGAATCTCAGGCCCCAGACAGCAGGGCTGCAAATTACACAGTCAGCTGCAAGGCAGCAGTGATCTATGGAAGAGATTCAAATCCAGAGAAAAAAAATGGGAGCCTCTAACTGCATCTGAAAATCAGTGAGAAAGAACCAGAGTCCTGTGAAACAGTGCAGCGGTCCCTTCAGCATTGCTCCTTCTGCTCAAACCTGTCACCACTCACACAGGAGTGGTCACTGAAACAAGGGATTTCTCTTCAGGTGAATGACAAAGAAACAGATTTGGATTTGCCCAGGCATCTGGAGAGGAGGGTGCCCTCCACACTTTTATTTTTTGAGATGGAGTTTTGCTCTTGTTACCAGGCTGGAGTGCAATGGCGCGATCTTGGCTCACTGCAACCTCTGCCTCCAGGGTTCAAGTGATTCTCCTGCCTCATCCTCCTGAGTAGCTTGGATTACAGGTGTGCGCCACCATGCCCGGCTAATTTTGTGATTTTAGTAGAGACAGTGTTTCTCCATGTTGGTCAAGCTGGTCTCGAACTCCTGACCTCAGGTGATCCGCCTGCCTCGGCCTCCCAAAGTGCTGGGATTACAGGCATGAGCCACTGAGCCTGGCTGGAGGGTGCACCTTGATTCCGCCCTCCACTGTTCAGAAAGGGGGTGCCTGGAACATTGTCACCACAGCGAGAGTCTTCACCTACCATCCTCCAGCCCCGTCCCTTTCTGCCACCTCTGCAACTTTTCCAGTTAAATTTAAAAAAAAGTAAAAATGGGGACAAGAATGATCTGCCTGCCTGTGTTTGGCCCTTTTTCCGAGTTTTTGTGTTCTGTTTGAAATCAAACTTATGTTTTCTTCTGAAATGAATGACAGGGAGAGAAAAAAGCAAAAGCCACCCAGGATTGAAAAGTGGTAGCTTCTTGCCGCCGACTTCCTGCCAGTGCCAAGCCAGGGGGAGCTCCGCATGTCCTCAGCTCACCCTCGCCGGGCCACGCTGCATGCAAATAAGAAGCTGTTTCAGTGTCTGCCCATCTGAGACGCTGACATGAAAAAGGAAGAAAGGAAGGAAAAAACCGCCATCACCACCAATAAAAAACCCCAAGACTGATGAATTCTCATAGATTGCAGCGAAGCAGGGGGCCTGGTGGAGACACATCCTGTTTTGCTGTTTAGGTTGTCCCCCAAGCCAATAAGCTCCCTCGTGAATGGCACCAGTTGTGGGGGATGACAAAGAATTCAAAACACTCACAGGACAATTTTCCTAACCCTGGGTCTCTCGGAATGCTATTTTTTAGGCTAATTGGTTTTGATGGGAACACTATGCCTGCTAGGCCTATTTTTAAGCCAGATTTGAAGTCAGTGCAGTTGGTAGTTGATCTTGCACGAACTACGGAGATGTCACCAGCAGCTTTGCCATTTCAGAGCTGTGGCCTGGTGGGATGTTGACCTGCAGCCAGGGCTCCAGCACCACAAGTATCTCTGTTGTTATTTGCGTCTGTTCTTTTGTTTTGTTTTGTTTTGTTTTTTTTGAGATGGAGTCTTGCTCTGTTGCCCGGGGTGGAGTGCAGTGGTGTGATCTCAGCTCATGCAACCTCTGACTCCCAGGTTCAAGTGATTCTCCTGCGTCAGGCTTCCGAGTAGCTGGGATGACAGGTGTGCGCCACCACGCCCAGCTAATTTTTGTATTTTTAGTAGAGATGGGGTTTCACCATGTTGGCCAGGATGGTCTCGATCTCTTGACCTCATGATCCGCCTACCTTGGCCTCCCAAAGTGCTGGGATTACAGGTGTGAGCCACTGTGCCCCAGCAGGGGTTGGCTTGGGCAATGAGAAAATGGTGTTGCTTTTGTGCCCACTCTGTCCGGGGCACAAATTCACCACATTTACCAAACCTCAGTGCTCTGAGACTGCATAGGATTCCCTAGTAGGATGCCCAGTCTTTTCCTGGAACCACCATCCATTTACCTCCTTGAGTCGTCTGGGCAGTGAAAGGTGGTCTCCTGCATAGTCACTGCAGTGTGATCTCCCTGCTGTGTCACGCATGGCTTCTGCCTTCTTCCCTGTCACCTCTGCCATCCCAGGTTATGCCTGTGCTGCTGCCCCTTCTATGTCTACCTGGAAAGCCCGAAACCTTCTTGTGACTTCTACTTCAGCGGGGGAGCTTCTTACCATGTCTCATAGCCAGCTTCTCCAGAGGAGACTCTCAGATCTGACTGTACTTTCCTACCACAGCCTCTTCTTCCTTGGATGGGGTCAAAATATGAACAGTCACAGCTTCATGCTTTCAGGAAACCACCTTCTCTTCCATCTTCTCCTTTGGCCTGCTCAGACAGCCAGACTTCTTAAAAATATTTTCCTACAGGCTCATGCAAATAGGGGATGTGGCTGAGCATCTGTTTCCAAGTCCTAAAACAGGTTATGAAAGCCCAGAATCATGCTGCCCTGGTAGAAGTTTTGTTTAGCCAGAACACACCA